AGGTGGATGGGGGTGATAGCTTGAGTGGGCTGCAATTTGTTTTGAATTCAAGGGTAACTTTGTCCAAAAAGTTAATTAATTAGGGTGAAATAGTAAAAGCTATATTCATGTAAATAAATTCAAAAATAAGGGTATTATTGTCCTAAAATTTTATTAATAAGAGATAGAATTGTAACAAAAAAAAGATAACTCTGGTAATCTTAGAAAATGGAGGTAATCAGATTACCTGCAATATTACCAATAGTAACTACTATTGGTAGTTACTATTGGTATTTAAAGATTACCGGTATCTTATACTACTTGACAACCAAACATGGTAATCAAGTAATATAAGATGACTTAATCCCAATAATCTCCAATGACCCCCAACCAAAAGCCCTCATATAATATTTAACTAATACAATTGTTTAATACAGAGAGAGTCCACCTTGGCAGGGCAATCTAAGCGACGACTTTTTAATACGTCGTCAGAATCTTACTACTGTACTAGATAAAATTTAAAAAGAAAAATTGGTTGACACCCATTGTTAGGCAGTGGGACTCATTGTGAACTGATCAATTACGAGTTATCACGTCGTGTTTATGAAAGGAAGATAGTTTGGGCAGTGAGATTCATTGTGAACTAACCAATTATGAACTACTACGTCGCATTTGTGAGAGAAAATTAATGACAATGGTTTGTTAGTGTAGTATTAACCATCACCCACTTTTCTTATACAAGTCAATAATTCGGACATAGCACTAATTTTCAAGGAAGCAAACCGGACGGTGATGGCAATTTTTTAGGATTATAACGCCCCAGTCACAATTTAAAATTTGGAGGTTCCTCTTTAGATCAAATAAAGGTAGAAAAACCAATTTTGATGTTGGAAGTTGATTTTTGTTTGATTTGAAGGTCTGCTCTTATTGGAAATTGTAATTTGATTCTTTATTTTAAAAAACATCTAGAGAATAATTGAAAAGCTAATTACTTGTATTGGATTATATGTATTCAAAAACTTGAGAGGGTAATCTAATATTTTTGAAATTTTGATTAGTAAAACAGAAATGTAGCTTCAATATTTACTTCATGGGCATTATTTATAAGTACTGTCTTTAGTAAGGCCCAGTCCATCATAGGCTTGGACCATTTGATATGTAAGCCCCTCTTATTGGGCGGTATTTGCTTGTATCACGCATTGTCTTACGAGGAATTTTATGTATCAACTGTCAATTATTCTGGTATATGTCGGTAAGTGGATAGTTAAATTTATGGAGCAAGAGGCTTTAAATGATTTTCAATTAGGGAGAATACATCTATGAATCATATAATATCCTTATGGACAACATATTGTACTGTATATGAAGATTAGTAGGCCTCTTNATATTTTTAGGGTGAGCCAAAATAAAAAATAATTACTTATACCACTACAAAGCTAGTACATCAATATCAATATATATTAGGGATGAAATTAGAAATGTAAGTGCTTTTTGGGGGTTGAAGCCCTGAAGTTAATTAACAGCCGGGTAATCTTTCAGTGATCATCCCTATTAAAGACCAAATAGAATTAAACTCATGACCTTTTGAATAATATAGTAAAATTTTTTTTTTTGACCACTCGAACACCTAGTTGGTTGATTGTTAATACTATTAACAATGTGTCTTAAAAGTCTCACATTAAGGACTAGGGGTGTTCGGTTCCAAGTACCCTGCACTTTTAGAAGGAACCGGAACCGACGGTTCCTTGAAATTTGGAACCAGAACCAGAACCTGTAACAACGGTTCCGGTTCTGATTCTGATTCTGGGTATCCTGTAAAATTACATGACCCCCCAAAAGTTTTTAAAATGGCAAAAAAAACTCTTAAAAACTTATAAATACCCCCCCACCTGGCACTTGTTAACAAAAATAAAATTACAAATTATAAATTCAAAATTACAAACTCCATTACTTTGTAAAGGTAGATTCTCAAAAGTCAAACCAACTTACTTTAAATGTTATGAAATATAAATATAAATGTATTCACATTACTTATTTTACAAAAGTTTTTATTTACCCCCCTAATCTTTAATTTTATTTTATATTAGTCTCGGTTCCTGGTTCCTGATTTTGGTTTCGGTTTCTAACTATAGGAACTGGAACCAGAACCGCACAGTAACGGTTCTAAAAATTTGGAACCGGAACATATCTATTGACGACTGGTTCTGGGTAGGAACTGGAACCAAATCCAGGGTATCCGTCAGTTCCGGTTCCAACCGATTCTTTTGAACACCCCTATTAAGGACTGTAATTATCGTAAGAAGATATTATGATCGAGGCTTATAAAGATTGGACAAATTGAATATTTGTTGAGTATCCTCCAACATATTATAATTAAACTAGGTTAGGTGAAATTATTCCTGAATTTTATAGATAGGTGGCAGGCAGCCATGACCCACATATATAACTATAATGTTCTCTGTTTTACAATCATTCTCTAAGGTTTCCCACTTTTTGTATAAACCGACCCATAATTTCCGCCATATATGGCATGTCTGCACTGCACCGCACAATTACGAAAAGCATATCAATTAATCATCACTCCACCTTTGATTTGAGCTTCTATTTTCATGAATCCTGTGATCAGAAAATATATAAACATATAATATAAGCTCACTACATCTCAATTCTCAAATTAACGATCAATCAACTGCTTTGTTTTAAAAATCAACATCTAATTGACCAATAATCAATATCCCTATTTTTAAATATTTTTTTGTTTTAAAAATTTTAGCCTTAATAAATATTACTAGAAATGGGATAGATAGAAAACCTAATTAAATTTAAAGGGTTATTTTTTTTGTATTAAATGGGGTTTAAGGAGATTCATTTAAATATAATTGAGTTATACTTAGTAACGGGGGATATTGATCAATAATATGGGGGGCTAAAAATCACTTCCCATTCAACAAATAAACATAATTGAGTGGATCTATTAGTAGCCACTAATGACTAAAGAAGCCCCACTTGTTAATAAATTTTACAATGACAAATTTATCCCTAAATTTAATTATTAAAATTAACTTTAATTTCATATTCTTTACAAATATTTTGACACCCCACTATTATCTTATAATTTTTTTTTTTTTTTTATGTTATTCAAATCATTCTTATAACAAAAATATAATTTAATAGAGGGAACAGATTTGCAGTAGGATATATCAGTTTAAAAGGAGTACAAAATTGTAAATTTTTATTGCTTCTCATATAAATTTATTGTTATTTTTTTCTTCAAACTATTGGTAGCTATTTTGATCTATATAATTTCTTGTGTTTTTTAAGTGTATGGGATTATTTGTAAGGATTTTTTTAGCTTTAATTTTTTCTAAACTTTCAATTTAATTATAAAAAAAAAAAAAATTATTTTAGGAATAATGATGGTAGGAGGTATATAACATACATGAAAGTAATGAAATGTTAATTTTTTAAAAATATTTAAAAAAAAAATGAAATAGAGGGCATTCATGGAATTTATGGGGTGTCGTAAGAAAAAAAAAATAATTTTAAAACTTTAAAATAGAGTGTCTTAAGAAATTAAGTTGGTGTGAATAGCTCCACCCAATTTAAAAACTGAAGAAAATCATCAAACTTAATTTCAAAACCGAAATAACACGCTCTATTGTAATGGCCCAGAGGCCTCAAACATGATGATGAAAGAAGTCAATTTCTTGGGCCTACACTCTGTTCATTGATTTGAGATAACGGACCAGTTGCCTCCATGGCTCCACCCAATAATCAATTTCTGAAATAAATTAAAACAAAAAAAGTTTTCACCCGGCATTGATTGGAATGAAAGAGTAAGTCAAAAGTCGAGAAAGACCATATACGCATGTCTTTGGTGGCCCTGGTCCATTCCCTTTAAGCATCTTTCACTTTCACTCCATATCTAATCTCTTTACCAAATCCTTCGTTTATTTTAATTAATTAATTGGAAAGATTTGGTAAAATATTAATTATAATTTCCTCAGTTTACTACAATCATATACGCTACTGCAATAACAAAACATTTCTTCTTTGCCTTTTCATTTTCAACTTACCACATGAATGTCCAATATTTGTTTATTCCTTATCAATTATTATGTTGATCAGATTCCCAACAAAAGAAATGGCGTGGCACTTTATCTAATCATATCCTCTTATATATTACAAAATGCTTCGAATTCGAGATTTTTATTGAAAAGAAACTTACCTGAAGTTATCTCTTATTATAATGAACGGTACGCTAATTTTGTTCGAATGGACTGACACACCGGCTTATTACGTTACATAAAAGTCAAGTTGATTTACCTCATTATTTCCGCAAAATTCGCGGTGCAATAGCACCACGTGGATGAATCATAGTAACGATAACAAAGAGGTTTGTGCGGCTAGAAATGAACGTCTTGCTTCGATTGAATCTACACTTCACTTGATTCTCCGAATCTTTTTCGTCACCTACCCTGGCCATTACCTAAGCGACTCGGCTATGATTGATATATTACTTAATTTGCATAAAATAATATATGTATAAATGTTTTCCGCGTTGTTGAGATAGTCCATAACATAAAATAAAATATATAATTCAAGTCGAGTGATGTGGGCCGTGGTCGGTTAAATCGGTGATCCAAAATTCATATAACTTATACATCATATGACTTTGAAGGAAGGCTTTACTTGTACAGTTGTACTTCCCAACACCTATCTACTCTATAAATTATACCATACATAATAAATGCCATACATTCATCCATCATAACCGTCCATCACTAAAACAGATAACCCATCTCCATCTTCCAGTTGAACACCACACCATCAACGTTACACCACGACATTAGGTACCATTACTCCAATACAGCTAATCATTTCCTTTTTGTATTCTCTCTCTTCATAGAAAATTCAAATTTCCACTATATAAATACGCCTCAAGCCTTCCTCAAGTCTCTCGCTCCCCTCTTTTCTTGTGTTTACGAAACGTATTCATTTCTATAGCTCCTTTTTTTTATTTATTTTAAATCTTGTCCGTCCATTGCCGGCATGTCGGCGGCCGAGATGGATCAACTGACATCAGGGGCCAGCAATCGTATAATCCCCATCCTTAAAACCCTAAGAACCTTTCTAATTTTCATCCAATCGGCCATTTTCGCTTTCGTCCTCCTCCTGCGGCCACGGCGGCGCTCGGCGGCTGGTGCGCCGCAATCTGCGTCAAAGAGTTGGAAGCGGAGGTTGATGTCGAGACTAGAGGAGGAGGACACCTTGAGAAGAAGAGCGTTGGCTGAGGATTTAAATATGGGATTCGAAACTGATGATGGGAACGTCCATTGCAGCTGGAGTAGTTCTCTCTTCTTTGGTGTTAGAAAAAATGCTTTGTTTTTCCGGTCCTGGTTCCCGGTTACCGGTGAATTGAAGTAAGACTTTTGTTTTTTATTATTATTTCATTTGACTTTGAATGGTGGTTTTGACTTTCAATTTTTAATGTCGTGTCATGTGATCGTCTGTCTCCTTAAAAAATAAGTTTTAGCATAATTATTTATCCTGGTTTTGTTCTAGAAAATCAAAGTTCTTGAATTTGTTTTTTTGTGATTTGTTTTTGAAGACAAATTTGAATCGTAAGTGAAGTTTATGATTTGTGATAAGAGAATATTACCTCTGATAACTGGATAATGTATATAATTGAAAAATCAGAAATGTTATAGAAAATTTTCTAGGTTGAGTATCTTTTAGCTTTATGGTTCGATACGCTTCCGATGTGCCGTATTAGAATATCATTTGATTTCTATTCGTATCTCAACTTTTTGTCAAAAGTGTAACTTGTGTTTTGGTTTACCACGCTATTCTTCAATTTTACGAAATTTACTGTTGCAAATGTCTGTTTCTTTACTTTGGCTACAGTGTGCAATCTAACTTGCTATTTTCTAATAAAACTTTGGGGCTCTAGAGGTTACTCCATACGAATGGATTAATGTTTACTGGTGCCACATGGTTCTCTTTTATTATTTTTTTAATTTTTTTGTTGATAAAATTCCACTTAACTTTAGCATGTACAGTTAATTTATTTCTCGCTGCTACCTTTTTCTGTTGCTCTTTATGCTTATTCTATGTTCAATTGCTTTCTTCTTTCAGGGGCATTTTGATCATTATACATGGGCTCAACGAGCACGGGTAATTTGATATGATCTCTTTTTGGAGGCATTTTGTCTGTTTAGCGTCTTATTTTTTTAGTCATAGCTCGTAGAATGGTCCATTTTTATCTGTCTTAGAGATATAAAAATTTCTGCTTTATTGTAATGTTTGTTGTATTTTCAGTGGGAGATATTCGCATTTTGCGAGGCAACTAACTTCAAGCAGCTTTGGGGTGTGTGCTATGGACTGGATAGGTATATAATTTATACACTCTATAAGTTTTTTGAATTGGAGTTTTAGGTTTACATCATGAAATTTGAATGAGTTTTTCAAGTGTAGGTCATGGTGGGAGCGATGGATTGCATGGATATGTTCCTTCACTTGACCATGTTGTTGCGGACACTGTAAGTTCAAATTTTTTATGTGTACTGATACTGCGCTTCTGTCAAAGTGATTAGGCAGAACCTCTGAATACCTAAATTTTTTTTAACCCCCTGTACTAATTATTTCCGGGTCATTGCCCATCATAACTGCACCTTCAGATTGAAACTACCCAAGAACTTGCAACCGAGTCCAATTACTTGTTTATAACAATTACGAGTCTAGGAATAATGCTACTTGGCTGTACTCCATTGCTTTGGTGTTTTAACTAGAAGTTAGATGTTCAGTTATACCTCCAAGTGATTATTAAAGCTCTCTATCTTCTGATTCAATAGGGGGCTTTCTTGGATAAAATCAAATCAGAAAACCCTGGAGTACCGTGCTTCCTATTTGGTCATTCTACTGGGGGAGCCGTAGTTCTGAAGGTAAGACATAGACAGATCAAAAACTAGCCTATGATCACATTGGTTTTTTTTTTTTGAATTTGTGAGTTGATAAGTTGCGTCTTTGTGTAGGCGGCTTCATATCCCCACATTAGAGGAATGCTGGAGGGAATTGTGCTGACTTCACCAGCTTTGCGTGTTAAGCCAGCACATCCTATAGTTGGGGTAGGTGGTTGTTCTATTTTTTCTTTTCATAGACCGTTTATACAAATGATTTGATGTTTAGTTGTCTCAATGAATAGTGTGATATACAAGTTATACATATGTATTTTTGTGCTGTACTAATTAGAACTTCTTTTGGTTAAAACGATTTTGCAGGCTATGGCCCCTATTGTCTCTCTGGTTGCTCCCAGATTCCAGTTTAAAGGTGCCAACAAAAGAGGAATTCCAGTTTCTAGGGATCCAGCTGCGCTACTGGCAAAGTATTCTGATCCATTGGTCTATACAGGGCCCATAAGGGTCCGAACAGGCCATGAGATATTGCGCATTTCCTCGTACTTAACACGGAACTTTAAGTTTGTGACTGTACCATTCTTCGTTCTACATGGAACTGCAGACAAAGTGACAGACCCTCTAGCCTCCCGGGATTTGTACAATGAGGCAGCTTCAAAATTTAAAGACATAAAGCTTTACGAGGGCTTCTTGCATGACCTTCTGTTTGAGCCTGAGCGTGAAGAGATAGCACAGGATATAATTAACTGGATGGAGAAGAGATTAGATGTCAGTATTGAGAAGGCTGATAGTCTGTGGTAACTACTCATCTTATAGAAGTGTTTTTTAAATTTGTGAAGTTGGAGCTTTTAAGGGTCGGGAAACAGGCAGGTGAGTAATTACATAAGTTGGTCAAACGATCAGTGTTGGGGGTGGTCTCAATCCCATCAATTAAATGTGTATTATTTGTTACAAGTTTATTACAGTGGCTTCTGTTCTTCTACAGAAAAAAGTAGTAGAAAATTCATGTTTCAAAACTTTTATGGCTTGCTTCGGTTTATCATTACTGCCGGGATCCTACCCTTGGCTCTTGTGCTTAAACCAGAAACAGTATTGACCTTGGGACAATCACAGCAATCAATCTTAAAATTTGTAACTGCCCTCTTCTTGCAGCAGTGCCGAACTTCTTTAAACACTGTTATATCGGTTTGATTTCACTCCGGCTGGCGATTGCTGAAAGTTGTTTGCCATGTTGAACTCCGATTAAAAACAATGAATAACTTGTTTAATTAACTATTTATATAATAACATGCATATATAGTCGATTTCAATGAGTTGAAAGAAAAGCTTGTTCCTCATTCTTTGCCATTAATATGTGAGTACGATAAATGTAGGAAAGAAAATCTTCCACTCTCCACCCTTCATTTGGATCGGCTACGAATGACCCCTCAATCATGCAACCTTTATACTAATCAACATCAACTGGAAATAGTTTGACAGTGGCCACGTAGAACTTAACTCGATTGCTGTTATCAAGAACCTCATAGCTCAAAAACTTGTCAATGGGATTGATCATAAGAAGCTTCTCTTTTGTCCACCTGCTGCTGTTGTTGCTGGTGCTACCCTCATTAAATCTGGATGAGGGTTTTGTGGAGGCCACACAGCGAACCAGGCCAGGATGTCCTGCCTCTCCCTCTACTTGGTTGCAAGAATCGAGATGAGGAAACCACTTATGTATGTTGCAAAAATCCTCCAGGCAACACCATACTTGTTCTACTGTTAACCTTTCTACCTCAACACTCGCCTTCCCTTCCCACTTATCTTCGTCCATCGCCACAAAAAGAGATGTAAAACAGGATGAAATTACTGGTTTAATTAATAATTTAATATTTCATTAATTAAAACAAAAATTCATACGGCACTGTCATCGGCTCTCTCTATCGGTAACATAAGTTGGCAGATAATTAAAGCTGGCGTGGGTTTGATGGATGGTGAACACATGGTCATGGAGATCCCAGCTGTCCATGAATATTGCATCATTCTCCAACAAAACAATTACTCAATCTGATTTCTTTCTTTCTTTCAATAATTTCTTCGACAAAACTAAAGAAAAATAAACATATTAGATTAATGAATAACTACAAGACAACCACAAAACAAATGTCAATTACTTCTCTAAACTTGAATTGCATGCATCCTCCATTCTCTTAGCCATGCGCTGTAGGCCCATATCATACTTCTTCACTAAATCATCCAATACCCATCCTTCCACTGGATCAACTGTGAACCCCCACTCAATCACACACCCACTTTGATTTTCACCTTCATTGTCTTCTGGAACAATCTTGACCGTTGAAACATATGACTTGAACCCAATGTTGTTGTCAACTATTTCGTAGCTTAAACTGCGTTGAACATGATCAACGCTTATTAATCTCTCTGTGGACCAGCTAGCTTGAGGGTTGTTTTCATTGCTGGCACTAGGTGAAATTGAACAGCCAGAACAGTATCGGATGCAACCAGTCTGACCGTTGATTCCATGGACGCCATAGCAGGTGGCTAGACTTGGAAACCATTTATGTAAGTTGAAGAAGTCTAAGAAAAGAGGCCATATCTGGTCTGCTCTGGCTTTTGTCAGTTTTGTAGACACCTTGCCTTCCCATTTTGGCTCCATTAATCCAGAGAGTCAGAGACAACTCTTGGAGCTAGTAGAGTAGAGTAGTGAATTCTTATTGTGGTAGATTGATATCTTCTTGCAAAAATATTCCAAACTGCCACTTTCGTGCTTAGACTCAACGCAACAGGGAATAAATTATTCCTCGACTCTACAACATAAACATAACATGTTAAGGCAAGGCGCAAGAAAATAAATTTTTGGCTGTGTTCTTTTTTATATTTCTTGAGGCTGTGCACTAGTTTTAATAAGCTCTTATACACCAGAGAAATCAAAACATCGATCTTTTTTAGGGCCTTAATATTATACATAATCCTATTATAACATGCTGATGATTAATATTGCTGCCTCAACCCAACTCTTTTTTCCATTTTCTCTTTTTGATTTGTATTAATTTTAAATACAGTACTTGTTCTGCCCTGATCACCTATTTATTGCCTCTGTATTCTATTTGCCCTTGTTGGATCATTCTAATCTATTTCTTTTCGGGCTTGTCTTATCCCTGGCTTTTTCTATTGCCTATTCATTGTTGTAAATTCCTCTCTGCCGGGCTAACTCCATTGTTCTGGTTTTGTATACTTCAATAAATTGACATTAACTAAAGTTATAAATATGGGAATGTGAAAATGTAAAGAAGATCAATAAAATGAACGAGAAATATATAGAAAACATTTAAATAACATTGATAATAAAACATCACACAATGTTTTCAATACATAAAAACGTATTCAATAGAACTCTATTTTAAAGGGAAAGGGTACAATATCGTAGTGACAGATATATTGCCCAAATTTTCTTAAATAAGAGTTCACGATTTCTAAATTTCAAGAACTTCATGAGTTAATGAGCAGCCAGCAGTGCTGTGTTAACCTTTTGTCCCCAGGTTAACCTTATTAGAAGAATTTTCAGGGTTCCATGGTTGAAAGAAAAGTCTGCTCCATTTTCTTCCCCATGTATTGGAGACAATAATTAAAATTAGAAAGCAAATTTTCAAACTTCCAGCCTGGAACTGGGTCAGTTACAAATGACCACTCGACTATGCAGCCTTTTTGTTGATCATCAGCATTGATTGGAAACACTTTGATTGTGGCCACATAGTTGTTGAATCCAATATTGTTATCAGTGACCTCATAGCTAAAACACTTTTGGTTGGCATCGATCATCAGTAGCTTCTCGTTGGCCCATCTGGTGATCATCTCATCAGACTCAGGTGATGCTTTTGCAGTTGATGAAACATGGCGAACTAAACCAGGCTTTCCTGGAACTCCCTCTACTTGATCACATTTATCAAGATAGGGAAACCACTTATGTAAGTTGCAATAATCTTCAAGACAAGGCCATACTTGTTCTACTGCTAAGCCTGCTATTTCAACACTGGCCTTGCCTTCCCATTTAGCTTCTGCCATGGTCAGAAATTAAAGAGATCGATGTAGGTGGCTGTGAGCGATGAGATTGCTACTTTATATATATATTTACATAGATATATAAATTCGAAGGAGATGGTTAAATATGTAATTGACTGAGTCAGATATGGAAAAAGTGATGGAGGGCAGCTCCCTCCAGTCAAATAAAAAACAAAAAATAATTAAGAGACTGTTGAATAATGAATATTTGCCCTCTCTTCAACAGAAATGTATTATTATACACGGCAACAAGTGTCAAGTGCATCTAATAATACTGCCCAAAAGAAAACACCCAAGCGTACGCCAAAAGCCAACTATATTAGGTTAGCGCACGCGGTTTATATATACATAATCAGTTGGTCCTCTTCGTAACTTTTCCTTCGAATATATATTTGTATCATCTTAACGTAAGCATTATTTTAATTTTAATGTTATTTAGATATTGAATCTTTAAAATTGCTTCTAGAAACTAAAAGGAGTTATAAAATCTTTATATATACATAATGGATCATCCCTCTATCGGCAGGATAAGCTGGACAATAATTCCACAAAATATATCGCAGTGATGAATATAAGAAGACTTGAAACTAAAAATCAACGGAAAAGGAGGTTAATACCGAACATGGCACGCCCATTTCGACCATTATAATTTTCTCCTAGACCGGAACAGTCTTGATCTAACTCTGAAGCTGATAAATATGACCGAAACCAGTGTTGTACTTTTCAACTATCTCATAACTTTATTGTGAGAACATTCAATTACATACCCATTTTGACTCTTGACTAAAACCAATTGATTCATCTCCTGGCCTACACTGGAATAACCTTGACTTCAACACATATAAGACTTGGACCCAAATTCGTCGACTTGTAAACTATCTCACAGTTTAAACAAAATACATTGAGATTGAGCATAATCAACAACTATTAATAAAAATTTTGCTCCATCAAGGCTTAGTGTTGGATATACAAGTCTTTGAAATATATATAGTTTCAGGTCTGCTAGATTTTGCCTTGCCGGCTACAAATTATAAGTGTTAATACAGAATTCTGCATCAACCAGCGAGATCCGATCGACCTTGTCGGGATTAGAACTGATGTGTGCGTGATTACGGGTAATCAGCGATGATTGAATAATAACGTCAGAAAGTAAATGACAAAGAGAACTTTTAAAGTGGTTCAGCAAAGTTAACAGCTTACGTCCACTATGTTTTTTGTATATGTTGTGAGAGCTTACAAAGAACAATATAATTCCTAGGAAAATTTGCTTAGAACAATTGCTCAGCCCCCGAAAACAAGTTGTCATGGGTTTATACAGCACCCATTTACATGATAGAGTTGAGGTAAGATTCAAATACATAAGATTAGGAAGTTGCATGATCTTTGGCTACCTTAGTTGGAGTCTAAGTCAATCTGAATATCTTCTTTCCAAATTGAGTCAATCTAAATATCTTATCTCTTAATAGGGAATTATCCTCTCCGGATTGACCGCACAACAATAGCCCCCCAGCTTTTGGAGTGCGTAATCGCGCTTCAAAAACTCATGTCTTTGATTTGGATGGTTGTCGCATTACAGGCTACAGTCTCGAACTGAAGAACTTGAATTATGCTTGTCACAATCTAAAAGATCTAAGAGATATTGAACACATATCTCAAGCAAATGAGCGAGCTTATGAGATTAATTAGAGAGCATAAAGAGCTTGATCTGAAAGCATAGGGAGCTCAATCAGATAGCATAACGAGCTCGATTTGAGATTGCGAGGAGTTTGATTTAGAAAGCGCAGAGAGCTTGATTTAAGAGCATAGCTCGATCAAAAAGTATGGAGACTTGATCTGAGAGCATAGCTCAATCAGAAAGCATGGAGAGCTTGATGCGAGAGCATAGCTCGATCAGAAAACATGGAGCACTTGATCTGAGAGCATTGCTCGATCAAAAAGCATGAAGAGTTTGATCTGAGAGCATGGCTCAATCAGAAAGCATAGAGAGCTTGATCTGAGAACATATCTCGATCATAAAGCATGGAGAGCTTGATCTAAGAGCGTTGCTCAATAAAAAAGCATGGGGAGCTTGATCTAAGAGCATAACTCAATCAGAAAGCATGGGGAGCGTGATATGAGAGCATAACTCGACCAGAAAGCATGGAGAACATTGATCTGAGAGCATTGCTCGATCAAAAAGCATGGAGAACTTGATTTGAGAGCATAGCTCGATTAGAAAGCATGGAGCGCTTGATCTGAAAGCATGGCTCGATCAAAAAGCATGGAGAGTTTGATCTGAGAGCATGGTTCAATCAGAAAGTATAAAGAACTTGATCTGAGAGAACATTTCGATCAGAAAGCATGAAGAGCTTGATATGAAAGCATTGTTCGATCAGAAAGCATGAAGAGCTTGATATGAAAGCATTGTTCGATCAGAAAGCATGGGGAGCTTGATCTGAGAGCATAACTCGATCAGAAAGCATGAGAGCTTGATCTGAGAGTATTGCTCGATCAGAAAGTATTGAGTGCTTGATCTGAGAGCATTACTCGATCAAAAAGCATTGAGAACTTGATTTGAAAGCATGGCTCCATCGGAAAGCATAGAGAGCTTGATCTGAGAGCATATCTTGATCAGAAAGTGTGGAGAGCTTGATCTGAGAGCATATCTTGATCAGAAAGCGTGGAAAGCTTGATCTGNGTGTTGTACTTTTCAACTATCTCATAACTTTATTGTGAGAACATTCAATTACATACCCATTTTGACTCTTGACTAAAACCAATTGATTCATCTCCTGGCCTACACTGGAATAACCTTGACTTCAACATATATAAGACTTGGACCCAAATTCGTCGACTTGTAAACTATCTCACAGTTTAAACAAAATACATTGAGATTGAGCATAATCAACAACTATTAATAAAAATTTTGCTCCATCAAGGCTTAGTGTTGGATATACAAGTCTTTGAAATATATATAGTTTCAGGTCTGCTAGATTTTGCCTTGCCGGCTACAAATTATAAGTGTTAATACAGAATTCTGCATCAACCAGCGAGATCCGATCGACCTTGTCGGGATTAGAACTGATGTGTGCGTGATTACGGGTAATCAGCGATGATTGAATAATAACGTCAGAAAGTAAATGACAAAGAGAACTTTTAAAGTGGTTCAGCAAAGTTAACAGCTTACGTCCACTATGTTTTTTGTATATGTTGTGAGAGCTTACAAAGAACAATATAATTCCTAGGAAAATTTGCTTAGAACAATTGCTCAGCCCCCGAAAACAAGTTGTCATGGGTTTATACAGCACCCATTTACATGATAGAGTTGAGGTAAGATTCAAATACATAAGATTAGGAAGTTGCATGATCTTTGGCTACCTTAGTTGGAGTCTAAGTCAATCTGAATATCTTCTTTCCAAATTGAGTCAATCTAAATATCTTATCTCTTAATAGGGAATTATCCTCTCCGGATTGACCGCACAACAATAGCCCCCCAGCTTTTGGAGTGCGTAATCGCGCTTCAAAAACTCATGTCTTTGATTTGGATGGTTGTCGCATTACAGGCTACAGTCTCGAACTGAAGAACTTGAATTATGCTTGTCACAATCTAAAAGATCTAAGAGATATTGAACACATATCTCAAGCAAATGAGCGAGCTTATGAGATTAATTAGAGAGCATAAAGAGCTTGATCTGAAAGCATAGGGAGCTCAATCAGATAGCATAACGAGCTCGATTTGAGATTGCGAGGAGTTTGATTTAGAAAGCGCAGAGAGCTTGATTTAAGAGCATAGCTCGATCAAAAAGTATGGAGACTTGATCTGAGAGCATAGCTCAATCAGAAAGCATGGAGAGCTTGATGCGAGAGCATAGCTCGATCAGAAAACATGGAGCACTTGATCTGAGAGCATTGCTCGATCAAAAAGCATGAAGAGTTTGATCTGAGAGCATGGCTCAATCAGAAAGCATAGAGAGCTTGATCTGAGAACATATCTCGATCATAAAGCATGGAGAGCTTGATCTAAGAGCGTTGCTCAATAAAAAAGCATGGGGAGCTTGATCTAAGAGCATAACTCAATCAGAAAGCATGGGGAGCGTGATATGAGAGCATAACTCGACCAGAAAGCATGGAGAACATTGATCTGAGAGCATTGCTCGATCAAAAAGCATGGAGAACTTGATTTGAGAGCATAGCTCGATTAGAAAGCATGGAGCGCTTGATCTGAAAGCATGGCTCGATCAAAAAGCATGGAGAGTTTGATCTGAGAGCATGGTTCAATCAGAAAGTATAAAGAACTTGATCTGAGAGAACATTTCGATCAGAAAGCATGAAGAGCTTGATATGAAAGCATTGTTCGATCAGAAAGCATGAAGAGCTTGATATGAAAGCATTGTTCGATCAGAAAGCATGGGGAGCTTGATCTGAGAGCATAACTCGATCAGAAAGCATGAGAGCTTGATCTGAGAGTATTGCTCGATCAGAAAGTATTGAGTGCTTGATCTGAGAGCATTACTCGATCAAAAAGCATTGAGAACTTGATTTGAAAGCATGGCTCCATCGGAAAGCATAGAGAGCTTGATCTGAGAGCATATCTTGATCAGAAAGTGTGGAGAGCTTGATCTGAGAGCATATCTTGATCAGAAAGCGTGGAAAGCTTGATCTGAGAGTATAGCTCGATCAGAAAGCATTGAGAGCTTAATCTGAGAGTATAGCTCGATCAGAAAGCATTGAGAGCTTGATCTGAGAGCATTGCTCGATCAGAAAGCTTGGCGAGCTTGATTTGAGAGCATTATTGCTCGATCAGAAAGCATGTAGAGCTTGATCAGAGAGCATTGCTCGATCAAAAAACTTAGAGAGCTTGATCTGAGAGCATAGCTCGATCAGAAAGCATTAGACCTGACAAAACAGATGGGTGGGCCGAGTACGGGATGGGTTAAATGGGTACAGGTCCATATACGGGTCCATGATATTGGACCCATGCCCTACCCTATACGGGTACAGGTGGACCCGCGGGTGGACCCGTTTTTTCTCTCTCCAGATTTTAGTTTTTATAGTTTCACCCCTAATAGT